GGGTAAAGAGGGTCGTAAAAAGTCCGGGTATATGTCAAAATTTTGAAATTATTTCATTGGAATCATAACGTGCGGAAATTTTTAACTTGAAGCGACACCAAGAAATCCAAAATCGGCCCATCCATGTCCAAACTACCGACCCCTAAAGGTGGAGGACAGAGCCCCCTTTCAAAAAATGCAAGTTCGTTAAATTGGATGTTTATTCATGGGATATCGACCCCCAAGAATCCGAATGGGCATGTTGCAAACTTTTGCCAGAAGGAGCAGAGTCATAGAGCACCATTATAAGTAATAGAAGTTAATGTACATGAAGCTGTATCTGGAAAAACGACTAATGTTGACATCTGCCGCTTTTAGGGAGAACAGCTTTTTTAAATGTAAGTACCCTCAAAAGCATGTGTACAAATTTTCCTGACTCAGGTCTCAATTTTGGAGTGAGGAATCTGGCAAAAGCTGTGTTATATGTAAAAAAGGCGGATGTCTTGTCAACATTTGTCATTCTTTCACATAACTAGTTAATGACCTAGTTAATGGTTAAGCAGCTAATGGCCACCCGTTTTTAGAGGACAACGCTTTTAACTTAACTATTCTTTGGAAGACTGAAATTTGATTTAATTTAATTGCATTTTAGAAGACTGATATAATTCGTTCCATTTTTTCAAGAAGCTACCGATTGTTTCGTTTTTCCACCATTTATTGAAATACTTAAAAAGCAATAAGTTTTTGTTAATTTCAATTGTTGAACGTTGCTTAAATTGCTTTAAAACCCGATTTTAACCGTCATTAAAACCTTTTCGGTACAAATGGCGGATCTTGTTTTTTCTTCAACCCGATGTAGCTCACTGAGTTTTGATTTGAATTAAAAAGTCTAAAAAGGGTTTAGTAGGGGAGGATTTGCTTTACACAAAATCCTTAAGTCGAATCCTCTTGATTTCAAATGGAGTCAAATCGCAGAGCTTTGAAATCTTTGAGAGCGTTTTTCTGAAAACTGAAAAACTCGGCATCCGCTCTTTTTACAGATACGGCTTCATAAGCGCCTCAAAAGTTGAAGAATTAATCCGTCTCTGAGTTCTTAAGTTCTCGCAAAAATAAATTTAAAAAACCATTTAAATACTCAAAACGTCTTCCTCATTTTTTCAGGCCCAATTTAGTTTTGCCCTCTGGCCTTTTAGCTTGAAGTTACTGTGGGCCCCTATTGTGGACTCTCTCTACTCAGTCAAATTTGGTCGCAGGAAAACATGGCTGGTTCCAGTGCAGTATGCCCTTGGTAATTCTACTTTCTGCATTATATTCTGTATTCTGCATTGCTCTGCATATTCTCAATTTTAGTATGCACTCTCTGTATTGTGATTCAAGATGATACATTGATAACCCAACTGGGAAGCCACTCATCTTGAATGAACTCGCCTCTATGCTGTGGCATCATCAACTCAATGGGTCTGTCGCATTCAAGAGATACAGCCATGTAATTAGTCTCTTCCCAAGTGAAATGCAAAAGAATTTCAATGGAATCATAAAAAAAGTCTGAAATCTACTCCTTAGGGTGCAATCTGCTTATTTTGAACAATTTTCCAACTTCCCATAGGCAAAAGGAATAATAAAACCTAGTATGAGGATACGATTAATGTCACAAACTTTTCTAGTGTACAATTTCAATCGTTTTCAAGCATTTGCTACCTTCTTGTTTGTTTATTATGCAAAAACAAAAGCTTTAAATCAATGGAGTATCTGCACGAAATTTTGTATGGCTTCATTTGAGAATGCTTAAAATGATGATTTTGTAGTATTTTTTACAATTTTTTCCTGATATTGGGAAACAGTATAGAAATAGAGTTAAAAATGAGAAAGTACGCTGCCTAGTGACGTCACCTGGTGGCATTTCCCAATTAGACACATGCACTTCAGCAGATTAGATCATTTTGTCATATCTCCTCCACTAATTGTTCTATTTATGAACCAATGGTATCTTCATGTTCAGTTCACACAGTAGTTTCCTCTTTTATGCAATATGCACTTATTTTATGCAATAACTAGTTAAAGTATGAAATAGAAATGCCATTTCATACTTTAACCAAAACTGCCCGTTATTCTATACAGGGTGTCCCAGATCACCCGTACCAGGCCTTTTTCTCAGTTGCATAGGTCGCACCAAGTCAGGGACTGCAGGGTTGAACAGAAAAGCGACCCCGAGGAATCTGAATTTCATGATCCCGAAACCCCCCAGCTCCCCTTGGAAGGTAGAGGGGGGGGGGTCAAGATCTTAAAGGTCGAAGTTCCCGGTAGAATTGTGATTTGATTGCATTGAAATTGAAAAGAACGGAAACTCTCACGTGAAAATGACCCCTAAAAATCCAAAATCGGTCGTTTTTAGGCCCAAAAATTATTCCTTAAAGAGGGGGACAGTGCCATCTCCATGATTTCCTTTTGATCGCAAAATGGAAGTAGATTTTCTGGAAAAAGATAGTACTTTAGGTAATCGACCCCAAGGGATCCTATTTAGGAACCCTATTTAGGGGACCCGAAGCCCCCCTGGGTCCCCTTAGGGGCTGAACGGGGAGGGGGCACAATTTCAAAAGTCAGGGTTCCCTTTCGAATCGCAAATTGATGGCATCCAAATTGAAAAGTGCAACAAATTTAAACTTTAATTGACGCCTGGGAGTTCAAATTGACCCACTCAATGCCCAAACTTGAACTCCGTATTTCTCAAGTTTGCTTATTATCATTCTCTAACTTTGAAATACTCGGGTACAGTCAATTTTTTGAAGTTCTTTGTGCCAAAATCTGCAGAATTAATCCGTCTGAGATATGGTAGAGTTATCTCATTGCTTTCTTTTTTTCACTTTTAGTCCCTCTTTACCTGACTCAATCAGCTTTTTGTCAATTGTTCAGTCGTCGAAAAATTACTATTTATCGGATTACATGAAGTAGTCAAAAATTACCATATTTGTCTGTGAAGTATGGTTTTTGAAAGTCTATTAATTTACTTGTTAATACAATCTAATATTTTTTTGAATAGGATTGTGGGGTAGTGAAGGTGAACAAGTTTAGAAGGCAAGGAAGGGTAGCCTCTCTAAGTCGTCAGTTATCAGAGCCCTGGGTTAGTGATTGTTTTTCACCTCTGTGTCGGATGAGTTGTTGTAGAGAATTACTTTATGATGCCATCACCCAGTGAAAATACAGGAAAAACACAGGGAAAACCCAGGGAATTTGAAAGTTGCAATAAAATAGAAACCCTGGGGGGTTACTGTTGGGCATTGAGTGGGTCAATTTGAACTCCCAGGCATCAAGTAAAGTTTAAATTTGTTGCACTTTTCAATTTGGATGCCATCAATTTGCGATTCGAAAGGGAACCCCGACTTTTGAAATTGTGCCCCCTCCCCGTTCAGCCCCTAAGGGGACCCAGGGGGGCTTCGGGTCTGTGAAAATAGGATCCCTTGGGGTCGATTACCTAGAGTTCTATCTTTTTCCAGAAAATCTACTCCCATTTCGCGATCAAAAGGAAATCATGGAGATGGCACTGTCCCCCTCTTTAAGGAATAATATTTGGGCCTAAAAAGGACCGATTTTGGATTTTTAGGGGTCATTTTCACGTGAGAGTTTCCGTACTTTTCAATTTCAATGCAATCAAATCACAATTCTACCGGGAACTTCAACCTTTAAGATCTTGACCCCCCCCCCCTCTACCTTCCAAGGGGAGTTGGGGGGTTTCGGGATCATGAAATTCGGATTCCTTGGAGTCGCTTTTCTGTTCAACCCTGCAGTCCCTGACTTGGTACGACCTAAGCAACTGAGAAAAAGGCCTGGCACGGGTGATCTGGGACACCCTGTGCATTAACTAGTTAATGTTTATATTAACGGAACTACGCACTTTAATGGTAACATTCTCTCGTGTCTCATTCACAAATGCAGTGAGATTTGCCGTACAAAAATAAAAAGTAAATTTAAAGTAAAGGAACCTAACTGAAAAGAGAAAGTTAATGAGGTCATGGTTCGAGAAAATGACGTGTATATTATGAATTATAATATTGAGGTGAAAGGAAATTGAGCAAAGATGTAATAAAAAATAAAAACAAAAATACATAAAAACTTGATCATTTCAACATTCACAGATACACAGGAGAAACTACCGAGTTCAACCAGAATTACGAGTTGCATTTCAATTGCCTATTTCTCAAGCTGAAATTTAACACCAGAATTTGCAATACGAAACCGTTGCTTTGCAATGGAAACATTATCTAAAAAGAATAATTTTCTAATGCTTAGCCGTTTGAATTAAATGGAAATAAGATTTCATAGTACGCTGCACTCTTTTTTTCCTGCCAATTTTTTTTTCCAAATGGTTTTTCTCGTGGTTATAGTGTACAATGAGGCAGTATTTCCTGTCCATGATAAAAATCATGAAATGACTTACAGAACGTCTCTGAACTTCACTTTCAAATGCATCTCACTTTGCTTGAAATACTGAGAGCGCAGAAGACAGAGAGCTCAGTTCATCGAGTGGATTGTGGTTTGACCTTTAAGAATCTCCCTAGGTACCTGCAAGTTCCCGTAGATGAGCAGACTTTATCGGCGTAATCCCTAACGTTGTGATTTCAAGATCATATCCAAGTGATAAACTAGGCTGAACAAATCAACATTTTCAAGAGACGTGGAACAATCAGCAGCAGATTTTGGCAGCATTTGAAATGAATGTCTCCAATTCAATTCAATTCTGAATATTACTTAGAAGACTGCTGCCAGTGTATGATGTGCATCTAGCCCCGTAATGTTGGAACTATCAGGCCCTGTAACGAAGGAATGCCCAATTCCTCAGTCAGAAGATTGGGGTGCTTTTAACACTCAAGAAGTGAAAATACTTACTGATCACCTATTAAAGTAATGTAATCTAAAATGATCTAATTTTGTCAGATTCAATTAGATGGCATTACTTGGAGTAGTCACTTTGAGGACATGAAACTTCACCCTAGTAAGAGGCACTACTGAAATGTGTGTGTTACCATTGATTAAGATACCTATGACAATAAACTTCAATAATAATGTAATAGTGTAAATAATTTAAAAAATTCTTAATCTTTTGCATATTTTTTTCTAGGGGAGAATGTAAAAAAATTAGTAACATTGTACAGTTTTTAGTTGCTAAGTAATGTGGCAACCAAATCAATGGCCAACTATCCCTTCAAAGAAAGCAGATAGAGAGAAAGGGTGAAAGAGCTGGAGAAGAGCTGATTGGCCTGACCAATCAGGATAAACGGCCAGACCGCGCCCCTTGCTTTAATCCAATGAAAAAAAGAAGTCCTCAGAGCTGATTGGCCAGACTGATCAGGACTAGTGGCCAGACAGCGCCCTTTGCTCTGAAGGAGGGAGGATAGTTGGAGATAGGGGGGTTGGAAAGGGTGAGACCGATCAGGACAAACGGGAGCTGACTGGCTGGACCATGCCCCTGAAGGAGGGAAGATAGTTGAAGATAGGGTGGTTGGAAAGGCTGATCGGCCAAACCGATCAGGACAAACGGCCAGACCGCTTCTCTTGCCTTTCCGGAAGAAAAAAGAGACTCAAAACAAACGGATAGTAAAAAAATAAAAGAAGTCATAAAATGATCAGAGCCGTGAAGGGAAAAGTAGACTTCTGAAAAAATAATCCAAGAAACAAAGAAAACATATAAAAAAAGAAGGGGAAAAATAATCTACTTACTGAATGAGATAACAGACGAAGTTTTAATAAAAGAAAGATAATAATTCGTACTGGAAAAAACAGAAAGGGGAACGGACCAAGTAAGATCAAACCATGAACGAAAGAGAAAAAAATGAATGAGAGAAAGCTAACGGATTCAATTCCTGGCCTCCGATTATAACCGACTTAACTGATAAAACCCCCAAAAAAAGCCAAAAGCCTATCTCGAGGATCGAGCTCTGTGCACAACGGAACCTCCCGCCAACTTGAATTTGCAGTTGCGACCAGGGATCCTCGTTGCCTCCGGAGCGCCGCGAGCCAGCGGTGAAGGTAGCCGAATCAGTACACTGCCCTGTAACTGGAAAAACTAGTGTTTTCTAGCGGAAAAGGACAGGCACGATCCTACCCTTCGCTCTGGCCCGAAATGCTACGAAAACTCGCGAGAGAATTTCCCCGATCACCACAGTAACTTCCCTCCGTCTTTGTTCTGTGTGTCTTATGTAGAAAAATTGCACCCCATTTTCGCCTTCTCCTCTCTCTTTAATGAAGTGCTCTAACTAATAAGTCTTGCTATCAAAAATAGCTCCAATGATGATATAAATGTAGGTTACAGTGGCTGCATGCAAAGGTGACTCAGTATAAGATGAATCCGTCTAAAATTGTATCTTCCCATGTTCATCGATATAAAAAGATATAATCATCTTGTCTGAGTTCATTATGTGAGAGGGTTTAAAATGTACTGTGTGTCTGGAAAAAGGAAGGGATTAACTTCGCTCATCTGTCAGCAAGGATAACTCTCCATTCTGGAAAGTTGGTCAAAAGTGCAAAAAACATATGTTGGTGATCATTCGACCAAGTTTACATCACCAAGTAGGTGTTTGTCTATTGACTGGTGTGTCTTGCTGCATTTGCTCTTCGCAGAAATATAATACAGTCCAATTTCATATATGTTCTTTTCAGGAGCACTGATGCTGTATTTGAGTTACTTCATTGATGATTGGTTGAGCGAATCAGAGCCAAAAATTCAGGTTCTCACTGCCTTCTGTTTTTGTATGAACTTTCTCGCAGCAACTCAAGATATCGCTGTTGATGGCTGGGCCCTGACAATGTTAAGGAGGTTTGTAGTCATTCATGTGTAAGAAAATCCTGTTTGAGACTTGAATCAATTTAGTTACTTACGTCAATATCACAGGTCAGACCTTCCCTATTCCAGCGCTTTTGAAAGTTTACATTCCAATGATTTGTGGAGAGAAGAAAATTTTAGTTTATTTAGTTTATTCATCACAGGAAAAAGTAATTTCAACTTATTTAGGACATTTATTGTTTGCACAACTCTATCTGAGTTTACAGATCTAAAGATTCAAAATCCTGCTCATTGCAAGAGTCCAGAAAATCCTAGCTCCGTGAAGTTTGCTGACCAACATGGAGCACAGATTCCAAAAATAGGTCCAGTATTTAGTGCTTCAATTGTGCTTAATTGTTCTATAAATTTCAGCTCATACCGCCCAAGGGTTCAAAAACAGCAGCCTAAAAACGATATGGTAAGTCAACGTCACGCCAGAAAATCGTTTCTTTTTACTTTTGCTGAGAAATATTGATGCTAACAGTTGTGCTTTGCGACTATCATTTAGTGCTTCAGATGTTCTTTTGATATCCAGAGAAATTTTTGAAATCTCTTGATCTGTTCTCTCGCCAGAGCCAAAAAACCTTTTTTGAACTACCACTTACACGGTTTAAAAACAACTTTCTTAAAAATTGATGGAAACAACTGTGCTTTACGTCTAACATTTAGTGCTTCAAAGGTTCTTTCGATATCCAAAGAGACTTTTGAAATCAGTCGATCCATTCCTTCGCCAGAGCCAAATTACCGACCCCCAAGCGCTGATCCCGCCCTAGTCTGAAGATCTCGCGTGAAAATTCCAGATCTCTAGTAGCCTGCGACTGCGGAAGTTTTGCAACAAGTTTTTGATTACTTCATTCCATGAAATATGATGAGCCTTGTTGCTGCAGGAAACACAACATACTAGCAGGAATCCTCAAATAAATTTTCTGTCTTGTACAATATCTGTTGATACTTAAGTATTTGATGACAACAGATATTGTGCAAGACAGAAAATTTATTTGAGGATTCCTGCTAGTATGTTGTGTTTCCTGCAGCAACAAGGCTCATCATATTTCATGGAATGAAGTAATCAAAAACTACTTACTTACCTACAGCTTGGTCAGTTTCATGTCTTTCTAGAGTGAAGAAAATATTTTTTTTCTCTCTATTTAAGATTTCAGGGTGAATCAAACCTGTCCAACAAAAATTTTAATAAAATCCCTCTGTTCAAAAACACCTAAGAATCATTTCAATGGTAAAGTTGCTGACAATTCTTGTTTTAAGTCCGAAAGTCGGTTGGTTTACTGAATTTCTCAGGTGCAGACGGATGGAAGGATTTTGAAAAGACATAGAATTACATCCTCCCATAAGAATAAGTCAGGAACATGGTTAAGATTATCTGGGGATGACATTTGTAACATTTCGTTGAATGATTTTATAATCGAAGAGAAACAGAAAGTCTGAAACTTTGTAAATCTACGTAAGTGGTTTTCTAGTTAGGCTATGACATTGATATGCTCGTTTTGTTATCAATTAATCTCCACGAAGGTAAGCATACTTACAAAAACTGTTCCACAAGAGATGCAAATGTAACTTGTGATACCTAAATAACTTTACAAATCTTACCTGTTAAACTACCAGCTGCCCGATTATTGAAACTATGTCAGTCCGACATGAAAAGACATAGCTCCATCTTATCCATGCAATATATCGGAATTTGATGTCTTGTCGGGTTGCTCTAAGCCTTCAATAATCGGCCTGCTGATGAGTTGCAAAATATTTCCACTTCCAGACGAATGATCATGTCTTGGTTGATGCTTTCGATAATAGAGTTGTGATATCGGTTCAGCCGCAGCACTCACCAGAAAATTCCTTCTTCGATCGGACCTTTGATGATTCATTGTCGAAATAGCCTTGAACTGATTAAAGATAAATGACACCGCACAAGTGTCATTAAGTGATGAATCAGAGATCAAAGTATAAATTTCAAGCTGCTAGAGCAGTAATTTTATCAGACAAGAGTGACCGTCTAAATGCAAAATCCACTTATGACAGATCTCAGAAACTTTGCATCACCGCAAGGAGACATTAACAGAATATCTATACACCAAATTATTTACTCAACTAGGTGAATTTCTTTGGTAAATTATTGCGTTTAAGAGAAAGTCCTGACTGTAGAAAACAGGAAATAATACCTGTACCGATAGCATAACTGTGTCTATATGCACTACAGTGGTCACTTATAAAGAACAGACACGAACAAACACTTATGACAAACATTGAACAAGAGAGCAGAACTGGACTAAGTGACTGTAGTCTCTGATTTAGTTCTAAACTGCGAATTTGAAGAGCCATAAGACACACATCAGATGTGTAATCACTTGGTTTGGGCCAAAGAAACCTCGAACTACATGAGATCATATCGGTAAAGCTTGAGAGGTCAAAAGGCTATAATACTAAATAAATCGTGAACTTCTAACTCTTGAATGAATTCAGGACCACATACTTAAGACAAAGAAACTGCAAAACATTTGATTTGAAGCGAAAATGAAAAGAGAATGGTCAAAAAAAAGTAAAAGAAGAAAGTCTGGGTTTGGACACTGGACTTGTAAGACTGATTTTCAGAATGCACCCTAAAATGAGCCGATAGGCCGTGGCTCCTGGTTGTAAAATACGATGAATATTATTGCCAAATGCTTGGTTGAAGTCGAAAATGGATTTAAATTAATTAAAATTAAAAGATTTCGAGTTGTTCGGATCATTTGCATTATCAATCTTCGTTTGTTTATACGACCCACACACGGCAGAGGCATGCAGAGGTACCTCGCCGGCACGCCGGGTCAAAAGTGTGGCCACCGCCGGACGGATCGAATGGGCGCCATTTTGAGATGGCCCAAGCGCCGCGCGTTTAAATGGGAGCCCAAAATACGGACTTTTGGACTCGTATATTGTGGGTTAATATTGCTCAAAAAAATCGGGGAAAATTCCTGTGAGCTCTGTGCACTCTCAAGTTTCCAAAAATGCAAGAATTACGAATTGCTGAACAAGCTCATTGAAGCACCAAATACTGGATCTATTTTTGGATATCTGCAACGGCGGTGGTGCCCGACAGTAACGAGATATCGATATTGTATAGAGATCAAGAGCAATGGATCTAGGTCCCCTGCCAAAACTACTCATCGGACCACTTGAGTGATTTGTGGGCTTTTTCAATATCTCGTTACTGTCGGGCACCACCGCCGTTGCAGAGAGATAGCAGAAACCATCGATTCGATAAATAAACAATTCCAACTACAGAATAAGGCTGAACGTGATAAAATAAGTAATACATTTTTTTTTGTGATTGCGGTGGCGGTTTCCATGAAAACTGGCAACCCCGCCTCTACGCGAATTCCGACGGAAATTAGGCAATGTTGTGAACACCATGTCGCAAACGGTCAGTTTAGGTTAAAAAATGTAGCTGGACGTGATTAAATGAGTACTACTCTAAATTGTGATCGCAGCGGTGGTTTTCATCGAAAACCGGCAACACCGCCGCTACTTGAATTCTTAAAAATCGTGTAAAAGTTTCAAAAAAGTGCAAATCATGGGCTGACTTTTCGAATTTTGCTTGGTCTAGACGTTTTGCTTTAACACGGAGTCGCGAAACGAACCGAAACGAGCGTCAATATCGGGCGTCGGGCAAGTTGCGGAATTTTCAAATCGCTATAACTCGTGTTCCCTAAGTCTCTCAGAAAAGTATAATATATCAATGGATGCGGCATAGAACGAACAATAATTCCGACAGGTTTTTATTCAATCCCCACCAACCGCAAACCCTTTTTTAGGCGGTAACGTGATTTTAAATAATTACGAAAATTAAAAAAATGACCGAAACGTGGCAACAGTGGAGTCAAATTAAATTTTTTTTGCATAGGTCGATAGAACGTAATTTTTTGCGTTTTTTGGTGTAAATACGAGCTCTGTAACTGCATTTTTGCAAAAATAATGGATGTTTAAAGGTTACGACTTTAAAAAATCGCAACGCTGTTTCCCTGGGGTTCCTGCAAAAACGGAGCTAGGGATAAGCCTCTCTCAACTAGTACTATCAGCCTACAAAGTTTCGTACATTCCGGGCTGGGTACATTTTTCGCCTATATGAATAACCCTCTTACCGAAATGTCAACTATGGTATGTGCCACAGCTAGTAATCTAATTTAGAACCTAATATGCATATCGAAATGAACTTTGTTTGTATTGCAGGGAAAATGTAGGTTATGCATCAACGTGTAACAGCGTGGGTCAGACTGCTGGTTATTTTCTTGGCTACGTAATATTTATCGCTCTGGAGTCTGCTGATTTCTGTAACTATTGGCTGCGTAGTGTTCCATCTGATGAAGGCCTAGTGAAAATCTCAGGTATTAAATCACAAACTTGATTTTCAGATGTTCTCTCCTCTGCAAAATTTTTCCCTTCTTCTTTAAAAGAGAAGAAAAATGTTCACAAAATAACCAATGAAGTAAATTTTTCTAGAACTTATTGATTCGAATGTACTGCTGAACTTGTGAAATATTTGATATTTTCTTTTTTTTTCTCTAGGTTTCTTAGGATTTTGGGGACTCACATTCCTTTTGATAACTACATTAGTGGCTATTTTCAAGAAAGAGGACAGGCATACACTTGAAGAGGATGATATGAGTATAAAAGAAACATACTTACTGCTGCAAAAAATAATAAGTTTGCCCAATGTAAAATTACTAGCGTTTATTCTACTAACTGCAAAGGTATTTCTTTTCATGATTCACCAACTTTTTTATTCCTCGTATTCTTATGTTTTCTTGCAATCAAGTTTATGTACAAGAGGTTTTCATGTTTTAGTTAACACTGTTACCCAATAACCTACACTGTGGCCAAATGGTTAAAATTTGATATTTCATTTTTGTATTTTGGTTTTATACAGCAGCAATGAGGCTCTGATGCCAAGATGGGCATCGCAATAATGTAGGAAGAACTTTTTAATACTTACGAGGGTCATCCAGAAAGTATGTTTACATATTCGATATTGCCCATTAAATATATAAAGATACGCCACCAATAGATCATCAACACTTTACAACAAACTGCTGTGGCAATTTCTTTCAAACTTGGCAAGGAAAGAGCCATGAGGAAGCTATGAACCATCCAAGCATGTTTATGAAATCAAGTTTTGAAAAAATTGTCGTCGAAGCGTAAGAAAGAGAAAAGTTGTTATTCCCTATACTAATGCATTAGTTATACGAGGATGTATATATGCACAGCGCCGAACGTGTTGGTTCGGCTCCTGTTCAATCAATTCTTGTGAGATGTTCCGTATTGGCTATATTACACTAACTGTATTGCAGCTGAAATTGCGACCATGTAGATCCACTTTCAACCGGTAGATCACGTGAAGATCACCAGCCTGAGAGCTAGAAATATTGTACCTTTTTCCTCGTCAATTTTTCTCAATTGAAGCACACTTTTCTAGATCTTGCGAATTTCCAGGTGTATTAGTGCCATTTTTGCCCAGTAGCTCTTGGCCAAAACGGCGATAGTTGCACGTAAGTTGCTCCTATCTATCTCCTGTCACCTCTGTTTGAAGAGAGGCCCGCACCAGACACTGTTGCCAGAGCACGTGCTTCAAGTTTCGTCATTAGCTTCTTGAGATAAATCCAGGAGTCCTCAAGCCAAAACTAAAAAGGCATGTCACGTCTATGGTTCTGAATCTATGAGCTAACTCCTCGGTGAGATTTTTTTGAGTCACAATGCGAGAGACATTTAAGACGAGACAAGAAAGGCATGTTGCGTCTATGGTCTTGACCCTTTAAAGGATCCTCTCAGGTGCGGCTAAAACCCACCTTTGGACGCTCGCGAGTTCTGGCAAGTATCAACAGGTAGACCTCATTGTTGTCACCTATTACCGAATTTTTGTATTGAGTGCGAAGTGAGTTACCAGACTAACCATGTTGATGTTTCTGGCACCATTTTGAGTTCTATTCGTCATAGCCTGGAGAACGAACATTTCGCATTTGAAGTCTAAGTCAGATTGCCATGTTGCAGCATCTGACCACTCCCTATTGCTCAGTCACTTCGGGTTGAGTGTTGCAACTATTATGATGGAAACTATTTTGTTAGTTTCTCTTCTATGCTTTTGCAGCTAGGAGCAGCATTTTTTTTAGTTTCATTCTGAGTTGCAACCACACCTACTTTATTTATTTTAGATCAATTGGTACTTGGAGTAGAGGTTTATGTAGAATTGTAAAGAGGAGCACCAGTACATTCAATAGATGAAAATCTGCAAAGTTGCTTTGTTTTGGCTTGGGGGGTCTTACGAAGGGAGAGGAGAGTCAAGTCAAGTCTTACATAAGCCTCTCACTTTAAGAAAAAATAATGATTTTGAATCGGAAAAAAAATCAACCGGCTTTCACACTTTCTCTGTTACCTTATGAAAAATTGGGTGGTGGAGGAAGGAGATCAGGGCAGTTATTTGACTTCCAAGGGGGTTGAAACGTCATTGCACTGTTGCTTTGAAAGGGGTTGAGGTTGAAAAAGTTGTCCAAAAAACCTTACGTATTACTTGACTGACTGTCAGAACAAATTAGGGAACAGCTAAAAAGTAAACTGAAAACTGGCAAAAGTGGCGCCTTTGAAGAGAGCCTTTTTAATGGAAATGATTCATTTTAGTCGTCGGTAGACGAACAGAGCCGAATCAACCATATTTGCTATCATGTGCCACCCAAAATTGCCAGTTTCCGATTCTGAACATAGGATGCCACGTGTCGATCCGCTCCGTTTTTGTTCTCTTGTGCCTCGAATTTTGAAGATAAACCCATAAGGTTATGTACCAAATCTACGCTGAGACAACGATCTACAACTTTTAGTGAAAGGTATTTTTCGATCGGGGCCTGTATATGGACGTCAATACAGGAAATGCCGGTCAAATATTCTCAGTTTTCAATTTCTTTCAACTTTACTCGGATTTAACTTACTTTGACATTCAGACTCATACCTAATTCAAAAAGTAGACTCAATTACCTTCATCAAAAAAAAAGAAAAAAAGAAAAATAAAAAAAGAGGTCTCTAAGTTCATTTCTCGCTCTGCAGTGAACTTTTTAAAATGTCCATTTTCAACTTCATCAGACCATTGCTCTGAATCCCCCGAGGACATTAATGAGGACATTAATACCCAGCAATGACTTAAAACCAGCAATATGTTAATTTTTGACCATCAGAATGCTTCGTTTACCGGACCATTTAGACTCATCGATGGATGACTAGATCTACTCCTATTTTTTTCTCTCTTTCTTTTACATTGTTTCATTCTTTAACTGCTGAACTTGGAAAATTGAATTTTGCCTCTCTATTTTTCAGATTGCTTACAGTGCATCTGATGGTGTCACAGCTTTGAAATTAATTGAAAATGGGGTTCCCAAAGAAAAATTTGCTTTGATGGCTATGCCTCTAGTACCTTTGCAGATCGTCCTGCCCTTGTTCATTGCTCGACACACCTCTGGCCCCGAACCAATGAATGTTTATATCAAATGCATACCGTATAGGTGAGATGTTATCAGCTTTTTATTAGGTGTAACTCATTGTCAGTGTGTAAATCAAGCATTTGATGTATTTCACTTCAGTGAAATTGTCTTTCTTGTTCATTGTTTTTAGATCGTTCATGGCATTCTCTTCAAAGCACCCTTAACAAAAGCGTAAAAGCATGCCAGTAGTAAACACCCGTATTTAATCAAACGAGTTAACCAAAAGAATTAGTCCTGTTGCATTCCCCTTAGGTACCTGTCAGGTCAGGAATGTACTTGTAGCACCCCACAGTAGGGTGTCCCAAATTTGAACCAACCCAAAAAAATTTCCCCGATCATCAATGTTCGATGGTTTTATTGTGTCACTATGTCAAACATTTAATATCCCCAAATTTGAGGGAAATCGGATGATTTTTAGTGCTGCCGCATTCCGTTTTTAGCCACGGCGAAAATTTTTGAGACTCTCATTTTAAGCGTTTTGGACACAACTTTTAAAGGCATTTAGCAGTAATTACAGGCATCCTATAATTTTTTATCGTGACTTTGATAGTACACTTACGAGTATTAATGTTTGTTCTGATGTTGCAAACCTTAAAGGCAGGGACCCGGAGCCGGCTCCGGCTCCGAGCTCCGATTGAGAGCCGAGCCACGCACGGAGCATCGGGCTGATGAGCCGTCCTCTGCCATCGGAGCCGCCTGGGCCGGAGCCGAGCATGTAACACGGTCGGCTCCGGCCGGTAGCTGGCTCTGCGCGAGGCAAGCTCCGTTTCAGAATTCGGAGCTTCGCTGAAACGGAGCCGGCTCCGCTCCGCTCCGGTTTCGGTCTGTATCTCGGACTATGACTTCCCCCGCCCCCCTCCCCGCCCCGCTCTTACTTATCGCAACCTTTTTATCCCTCTCCCTTCCTTGTACGCACAATCCATCGCATCCTCAATGCTTTTACTTTCTGTCATTTTTGTTTTTCACCCATCACCCGGCTTCCTAGTTCCTGGTCTAGGCTAGGCACTTTAGTGTGATAAGGCGGCTGTCTATTCCACACAACATTTTGTTATTCCCTCGGCCTCGGCCCTTGGCCACTCCAGTGACTCCCGTGCCTTCAACAGCATTTCATGCTTGAATTTTCTATCACCTTTCTTAGTGAGCTCAAGCTCATCATGGACCATCGCACGACTCAGATTATCGTCCGGATGACAGCTGCTTATGCGTGTTGCATTGCTTTTACAAGTCTTATCTTGTAATCGCAGTAAATCCCCCGACCCCACGAGGAAAAATATATTGTTATTAAAAAAATTACTATTAACAATCCTTACAAACGTTCGTGTGGATAAGGACCGTTCAAGTTTTATTAAGTGAGCTATTTTGGCCGACTTTTTAACAACCACCACCACCCCCCCCCCGCGCGCGCGCAAAGTAAGCGCCCGTATGGCAACCTGCCCCCCCCCCCCTCTTCCCTTTGAATATTGCAGGATTGGCCACACTCCCTCTCACAATTTTTTTTAAAAAAATAATGAATACGTTTGGAGTATAGCTTTTTTTAGTGATGGCTTACCTATAGTAGCTTTTATTTGGGAAAATATTATTTTTTTAAATAAGAGGTGTACGTAAGATTGGGGTTGATAACCCTCTCCGCCATTATATAAGGAAATTATCCTTCTCCAAGAAATTGTTTTGGCAATGGATCGATTAACGGTTTTTTTTTATTTTTTATTTTATTTCTGAAAATTCTAGTTTTTTGTTAATAACAGAGGCTAACTTTTTGCTATCATGGTTTCGTTTCTAACGACGCAATGAAATTAACCACGAGACATCAACAGGAAATTACAAGTATGAGAAAAATCCGTCAAAGAAATCATATGCTACAAGAATTGCAGTACCATAAAAAGAGGATTTAAAAGAAGAAGAAGAATTAACGTGAAATTGCAACCAATACCAATACGTGTCTCTTCCTCTCATTTCTCGTTACTTCCCGAAAGGGGGGGGGACTGACTTTTTTGGACCACCAAGATCCTGATTATATCTCTAAATATATACTCATATGGAAAATATGTTCACTGATGAGAGCGGGTGCTAAAATAGGGACCGGGATTCATTCACAGCAAAGTGCTTTTGGAGGCAAGGAAGTCTATTATTAATCAGCTTCAACATGTTAAGTATATAGGAAAAAGTTTTCATTGAATATACTGTTGAAGTTCGACGCAAACACATTCTTTTCACCTCTCCGTGAATAAACCTCAAAATCCTCGTTCCATCATTGAAAAATGTACAAAATTAGAAATTGTCCTTAATGTCCATGAGCAATAAAGGCAAAAAAGACTGCAATTGGGGGAAAGAGAGTCGACGATATTTGCAATACTTTACTTTCGGAAAGAGCAACAACACAGTCCCGAAATGTTAAAGACGATTTTGCAAATTATTTCCTTCTCGTTTCCTCTAAATTCGTTCATTTAACCACTGACACATTTATTTTTGAGTGCAAAATGAAAACAAAATAATAAAATTCGAAGAACTAGCAGAAAAGGAAATTTGTACGAATCAGGAATGTTTCTGCGTGCGAAGAATATTGAAAATTAGACCTTTCAGAACTGCATAAAATATTACTTCGTTGAACGAAGTGATGGGGAAATTTCTGGAAAATTTTTTCGGTGTGGAGTATATGAATGCGCATTAAAAATCTTGAGGCACAAAAAACACATCATCAAGCATAAAATTTGCAATCTTTGAACGCCCACGAGCGTTTCCACACTAACATGGAAAAT